ACCCCGGGGCAGGCAGGCAGCGCTGGGTGCAGAGCTTCTGTAAGGGGCTCGTTTTCAGTGCGGGATGTAGAGACATCGTTATTCCTTGGCCACTTGGGGTGCTGTGCCTTTCCCCCCTGCCCCGCAGCCTTGATATTGCAGGGGGCTGGAGTGGTGGCATGGGGACAGGGGAATATCCCATGGGACAGCAGTGGAGCTACAGCTGAGACTCAGGGTATTGCCGCGAGGAGAAATACGGTTCTAGAAACTTCATGGGGTTTGTTTCTACCCAAAAATGCTACCCAAAGTTGCTTGGGAAAGGTATCCCGACCTTACAGCAGCAGGCAGGTGAAGAGTGATCTCTGGCAAAACAGTGGATGCAATCTCACCCCTGCCTTGCTCCACCATCTACAGCTGGCAAACCTTTCTACAGGTATTATTAATTTAGAACATGCCACAATTCCATGGACAGAAATGCCACTTGTCCTCCTCTTTGATGGGAAATTCTGTGACTCACTTGAGCCCACAGACACACCAGAGAAAGAGCAGGGATTGGCTCTTGGGTACAGTTTCACCCGCTGTTTTGGCGTTATTCCTATGGGGCTCAGTGCCCAGGTGGAGCTGGGGGACACAGAGGAACACACACCAGCCACAGGGATGGACCAGATCCAAGTTTTTTTGGCCATATTCAATTTTTTTTCCTAGAGTATCAGTGTTGTGAAGAGAGAAATCCAACCCTGGGCTGGAAAGTGAATGTTAAAGAGCTCAGCAGTTCTCCACACTGCCTTGGTGGTTAAGAGAACAAATATCTATCTCTGTTTCCTCTGCAGCCAGACCTGCTGCAAGTGGGGAAATGGGCACCCAAGAGAGAGGCACTGGCAGAAATCACACATTTCTTTTTCATTTGAAGTACGTTTGTGAAATGAATTTTCCAGAAAGAAATAGACAGAGATGTTCCAAAATCCAGTCTTTCCTCAAGAAACAACCCAAACCATCTTGTGTGCTTACACAGCAAAATGTCTCAGAGGAACAAACAGATATTTTGATCAAATAATCTTTTTCTTTTCAATGAGCTATTTTTTTCCCCACAACATAATTTTTAAAAAGCTCTGAGAGCAGCCAAGGGTCCCATGGCTGGGAGCGGTGATGACAGCAGCCCCAGCTCTGCTGAGAGCCTGGGTTGTATAAAGAGTGACGTGACGTAAGTAATACACACTGCTGTGGTCAGGGGGAGGCTGGCACTCCAAAAAAGCCAGGAATATTATATAACAACAACTTACATAATTACCTCTTGCATAATGCCAGGGAAAAGGCCCTCCGTAACGCAGCTGTGGTTTCTATGGCATTTTGCTGAAATACAGCTTCTTCTAAGAGACTCATTTGTGCTTTGTTTCAGGAGCCTGCAGCTCAGTCTATGCAGACAGACAGGTGAGAGTCCTGCACTCACAGCAGCTTGAGCTGGAGAGGTGAGGGATGCAGTAATGGATCTTACAGCAGGGCAAGAGCATTGGCTTTTGGGCAGCCCTGCCATTAACTTCAGCACTCTGAGAAGCAGAAGACTGTCATGTAAAAGCACCATCCTTAACTGAGTGTTGTGTAGCCTCCACCGCTTGTAGGAAATGAGATGGAGTCTAACTGATGATGGCAGTGGCCAAATCCCATTCCAGGCTCACTCCTCTCTTCCCCTTGTTCGTAGACACTATTCTTAGCAATGCCTCCAGGCAGGGCTCCTGTACACTGATGGATTTCAGCAGCTGAGAGGTGACCTGACCTGCTTGCTTAAAAGGAAGAGGAAGGACTAGGAGCAGAAGATTTCAGCATCAGGACAAGAAGATTTGGGCTGTGAGTTTGCAGAGCTGTGCTATATACTTACCATGGATTCTCTCTGGGATCAAGCCCTGTGCTGTAAAGTCAGAGGTAGCTTTACCCTCACTTCAGTGCTCACAGGATCCAGCCAGCCTTTGGTGACTATCAGACATAAAACAGGCATGACCCAGAGCTCCTGTGCAATTACTGAGGCATCTCACAATGTGTGTTAACTCTGCACAGCACCTGGGGAAAACGTTTATCTCAGCTAAACAAGACACTTCTTGCACACCAGTGCTTGCATTCAGTAGCAGAATGTGCGGGAAAGCAGAAGGGCAATCCGGGACAAGAATATTTAGGCTACAATACAGAAACTGAAGCTGTCTCTGAGGCTGCAGCAGCTCTTTCTGGGGATGCAAACCTTCTCTGAAGGACTGGGAAATGCAGAGCACAAAAGGACTGAGGATTTTGTGTGGGAAACTGTGAGTGTGCTTTAAGAAAGGAAGAGTATGATTAGAGAACAACAGGCGGATTTTAAAGTCTCACCTGCTCAGGAGCAAAAGAAGAAAATTATTTTTTAGAGGTAAGAACACAGGTTATACCAGTGGGACCCTGGAGATCTCCAGGAGTCAGTGGGAGATGTGGCATGCAGCAGTCTCTTCAGGTGGATTAGACTTTGTAACACCATACTGACACTCAAGAATTTGTGTACTACCCTTTGAAACACTAAAGCAAGAGAGGAATTCCTCCCTCATCCCTCATCATCAATAAAATATTGTAACTAGAGCCTGCTGAAGGACAACTGAGAAAGGCAGGGCCACAAAAACACACATGGGCAGTAAAGGTCAAGCAATCAGCCTGCATTCAGTATTGGGTGTCTGCCTGCCATCCTGAGCTCTGCAGCTCAGAGTTACCCACAGCAAGCTGCAGCAGAGACATTTACAGCGTGGCTGAGGCTGGGATTTAGTGATGGGTTAGATGAAATCCAGGCAGCTGGAAGGGGTGGCCGCTCCCCACTCCATGCCTCATGCCAGAGAATGTCCTAATTCTCCTCTTCCCAGTGCCTTGGGTATATGGGTGGTGCCTTGCAAGGCTCCCGGGTGCTGCTGGAGAGGTGCTCACCCATGTGCGTGCAAAGGCAGCAGCAACTGCAGCATGGCCAAGGCCAGAGCGAGAGCAGCCTCAGCAGTGACAGAGCTGAGCCACAGTGCAAACAAGTGCCCTGAGTGCAGCCCTCCCTCCTACAGACACACCAGCAGCCGTGCCCAGAGTCTGAAGGGAGCCAGCAACAATAAATAATTCCTCCTGCCTGAGCTGCTCCTTGAGGAAGAGGAGGCACTGGGCCTCAGCACACAGCGTACAGCTTAGGTGGGGGCTCTCAGCCTCCCAAAACCAGAGTGGAAGACCCCATCACTACATAGTAAAATTGGGTGATACAGCTGCAAATTTCCTTCTCAATCTGCTGGGCAGGCAATGGCCCTCAAGCTACCAGCACTTAATATGAAGCTGTGCATGTGTTTAAATTGGATTTGGAGGCAATGACAGCAGATCCTCCCCCACCCCATGATGCCTGTGCAGTTCTTTATGAGGGCTTCAAATGAACTGGATTAAGAAACTGGTCTGAGTTTGAAGTATCTGTTTATGTTTTGGAGAGTGTATTTTGAAGCCAGATAAGTTCTGTGGTCTGATTTGTCACACAGCTGGCAACCAACACATGCTGGCAGGGGGGACGGGGAGGCAGAGCTACTTACGCAGGCATCCTTTGTGGAAGGAACACCCGTGGAGCCATCCTCCAAAACCCCAGGCAGCACTGTCTAACTTGTGGGACAGCACATACAGATTAGGGTTTCCCTTTGCCTGAGTTTCATGGGGTGAAAAGAGAGAAAAAAGGCATGTTTTCATTCCCTTTGCCTGTAAAACATCCTCTCATCCACAAAGCATGGAGCTTCTGTGAGATAAGAGCCCATGGGGAAGCCAAGATCTACCCCTCATTTTTATTGATGTTTACACTTGCCTTTTAATGAGCTCCAGCAGGTTCTCGCTTCCAGCTGCAGTTGGCCCTTTTCAAAGTTCAAGGTCTCATTTTGCATTATTGTTCCACCACCAAGTGCACCCTTAAGGAGGAGAGGAACAACCAGGACTCCTTCTCTTCTGAGAAGCAGCACCAGTTTAAGCAGTCCCTAATCCAGTAGTGCTTTCTGTGCTCTGCTGGTTTTACCGGGAACTCCTGCAGGAAAACTGATCCCTCTGATAAGAAATACTTGGCAAAATAATCACAGTTTTCTTCAAGCAGATCAGCACTGTGCAGCAGTGAGCACCTGTGGCCTGGCTACCCGAACAGAACACTTACCACTCAGTTAGGGCAGGGTCTCTGTTCTGCATCTCTTCCCTGTTGTTTCCTTTGCTGTGCTTGCAGACAAATCTTTTACCTTGTCCGCTTCAGGGTCCTGCTGGCAAGACAACCACAGTGGTGGGGCTTGCTGCTGGCTGCAAGATACTGGCACAAAAATTACAAATACTGGAAGATTTCACCTCTGCTGAGAATCCCAGTCCAGTGGTTCCTTAGGCAGTGGTGCAGATGTAACATGGCATCCCTGCCAAATGCTCAGCCTGGCCAGCCCTTCCAGCTCTTTGGGGTCTGGGTTGCATATACACATGTCCCAGTCTGGGCACCTTTGGAAAGCTCACCTCTAACCATCTTACATACACAGGATTAATGGACAACTATCTCATCTAGCCTCTTCCCCCAACAACACTAGTGGCAGGGGGCCAGGGAAAGTGCAAGAAGCAGGAACAGCTCTATTCCATCACAGCAGCTTGAGGCTAAAGGACTTCCCAAGGTTATATTTGCATGCTTCATTTAACAGCCATAGGCAAAATTCTTCATAATTTTTGTTAATCCTCTTACACATGCTCCCCAAAATATACTTCAGACATGGCTGCAGCCTTACTAGGTCAAACCGTTTAAAACAACCTGCTGATTTGGTGACTTTGCAGAAGATCAGCCAATACACAAAGACAAAAAATCTGATAATCTCTTTCTAACCATTCACAAACAGCTTTAAGGCATGCTCATCAAAATAAAAACCCAAACCAGCAACAAAAATGAAGCTCCATTACCCTCAAAGATCTCTGCATATGCAGGGCTCCCATCTCTCATGCCTTTTTAATTGTGAGTTCCCCAAACACCACGGTTTTATTTTTTGATCTTCCTCCTCCTGCTAAGTGCTCCAGTGTTGGTGGCACAGCTGGTCGGATCCAGCTGGTCTGTGGCAGCATCTGTCTGGAAATTGCTTCTCTTAGCCTGCGGTCCTTTTATTTCCTTCCCCATCAGCTGCAGCAGAGATTTCACTCCACGTGGTGAATTTCACTCTGCTCCAAATGAATTCATACTCCTTCTCTGTGCTTCTGTGCTAATTTTGTGACTTGTCTATGAGTTTACAGCAAGGCCCAAATTGCACTGGATTTATTATCCTCCTGAGCAAAAGGCCAGCATTTATCTGCTGCTCTTGTAGACCTGCTGCTCATGGAGCTGAGAGAGGTACACTGGCCCCCACAGAAAGACATACAGGGCCTCACCTACTTATTGGGGCAGAGAGGGTCCAAGTCATAAACAAAAAACAGACAAGGCCACACTGGGACCACAGATCAAAAAGTCAGGAAAAGAAATGGGACTGCAGATAGACCAGACAAAACAGGCAGACCTTTTGTGTCAAAAACGTGTAATACAAATGTCTCATCCGTGAGCACAGTGTGGGCTGAGAGAGAATCTTTGGACAGGAGAGGAGTTCAGATGGGAATTGACTTGTTTGGTTTTTTAAACAAACTAAAAATACTGACTTGAACAAAGTGAGAGGAAAACAGGAAAGTGAAGTCCTGGCCAGTCTTACCTGCAAGGACTGAGTGTGGGAAGTCATTGATTCCATATCTGCTGCTCCCTTCTCGTGGGTCCTGCTTTCTGGTGTGTCATTTTGCAGACAGAGTTGTGCCTCTCACCTGGTGAGTGATAAGCATGATGCCAGGGCACTCCAGGTGCTGGCTCTGCAGCTCAGGACCCCCTCTTGGCCTAATTCACATGAGTATTTAATGCAGGAGTTATGAACCCTCTCATTAGGATGAGGCCAGCAGAGGTTCAGGGCTGCCACCAGGCTCTACACAAAGCAGAGGGAAATGCCCACAAGAGGGAGAGTTGGTGCCACTCTCCACCGTGATTCTGTGCAAACAGCACTTCCCAGCCTAGCAACTCTAAGAGCCCATTCCCCTTGCTCCACTTCTCCCAACAGAAATGTTTTCCTCTCCTGGAGATTCCCTTTTCCACGGTATTTCCCATCCTCCTCTTTCTCCACATGACTGGTATTTCATCTTGTTTGTGTGGGGTGAGCCCAAAGGCCCCATCGTGTGGGTGCCTGACGTGCTGCCATCGGAAAGACACCGAGATCTTCTGCTCCCCTGTCCTCCCACTCACATTGTGCTGTGCTGGGAGGGCACCCCTGCACCAGCCCCAGCACAGGCAGCCCCCCTCCTGCCCAGCTCATCACTCAGAGGTGGCACCCCTGGTCTCTACCCTGCATGGGCACACATGGAAAATTCCATTCCTGCTGGGCTCTGCTCAGCCTCAACACTCCAAGCCTAGAGCAGGCTCCACTGGGGCATGGGATTTTCAATCCATTTTCCAAAAAAATGTTGATGGCTACCAGCAACAGGATCCTAGAAGTCTCTGAGCTTCTGCAGGGCAAAGCTTAATGTGAGGAAGTAGCAGAAAACCCCGGTGATGTGGAAATAGCCACTCTGCAAGCCTCTATGGCTGGAAGTGCTTGATGGTGCTGGAAAAGCATGAGCACCAGCAGGACTTGTCTTGTGGGATCATCCCACCAGCTCCACAAATAGCATTCCTATGCTCCCAAGTCCAGAAACTTTCCAGAGACATTCTGATGATTTTGGCTGGTGATTCAGCAGAACTGTAACACAGCTCATAGCATTCCTGGGGCATTTTCCTAACCTGAAACCTTGGAGAAATGCCTTCAGAGGAGATCCACATGAACCACATCACCAAAATCACCACAGGACCCCCAAGCATGGCATATCTTGGCCACCATGAGCCTCCAGCTGCCAGAACAAAGCAGGCTAACTGGCTCTCTCTGCAGAGAGGGATTTTCTGCCTGAGGGAAAAGGTCATGGGCACTTCTTCTGAAACATGTGTGTGCTGGCATTAATGTGTCAGGCATTGCACACAAAGCTGCCCTGGAAAGCAGCATTGACACAAAATCACAGGAGCCCCTAAGGCTGATCAGTGGCCAGGGAGCTCACCACAGTGGTGAGAATGGCCCATATCCCAGCTGGGGGCACTGGGCAGGGAGGCCAAGGAAATTTATCAGCACACCCTCAGGATCTGCCTTGCAGGGCATCCACACTGCTGTGAAAGATGGTGCACATTGACAGGGAGGAATGAAATGCTAAAAGGAGAGAGATGCCCCCAAGATGATGCAAGGGATGGAGCACCTCTCCTATGAGGAAAGGCTGAGATTAGAGTTTGGTCAGCCTTGAGTGGAGAAGGCCAAGGGTGACCTAACAATGTTCTTTCAGTACCTGAAGGAGCCTACATGTAAGATGGGGAGAAACTTTTTGCAAGGGCTCATAGTGACATGGGGGGAATAGATTAAAACTAAAAGAGTAGGTTTAGATTAGATATCAGGAAAAATTCCTTATTGTGAGGGAGTGAGGCACTGGAACAGTGCCCAGAGAACTTGTGGATGCCACATCCCTGGAAGTGTTCAAGGCCAGGTTGGATGAAGCTCTGAGTAACCTGGTCTAGTGGCAGGTATCTCTGCCCATGGCAGGGGAGCTGGAACTCCATTATCTTTAAGGTCCCTTCCAACCCAATCCATTCCTTGACTTTAGAATTCTAAGCCAGCCTATTGTAAGTAGAAAATTTATTCATTCACTTCCAAATTTTAGCTCTAGGACTGGGCTCATGAGCTCATGTACCCAGTTAACTTTTTAGAGCAGCTTATGATGGTCCAGCATGTGCAGAAACACACAGTGTGAAGAGCCAGCACCTAATCCCAGCTCCTGCAGTGGATCAGAGCATCTTGTTCAGCACTCCCTGCTCAGAGAGGGCTACCTGAGCAGATACAATGAGACAGCAGTGTAAGCAGGGGCTTAGAAAATACAACTGACTACTGCAAGCAGCATGTTTTTACTTGGCTTTAGGGATGGTGACAGGAGACAACATAGCCAAAAGGCATCAGAGGTGAGAAGGTGAAGCAGAAAGAGAAGGGCCACCCCTTAGCAGGGGTGAGGCAGTGAGGTTATTTACACAACAGCCAGTGGATATGTGGCTTATTTATACAGGATAAGAAGAATGAAAATAGGGTTATCTTATGTTGAGCGAGATAATTTAATAGTACACAATTACTTCATACCGATTTAGCTAGAAGTAATTAAAAGTAAGGTTGTGCTCTGAGGCAGAGTTCCCCTGCCACTGAATTCAGGTCCAGCGGGAAGTTCACATTTGCAGCCACTCACAAAATCAAGTCCCTAAACTTCAGACGTTTCCCCCAGCAGCTTAACTGTTGTGTCCTTTGAAGTTATATTTCAGGTTTAAATTTCAATCTTCATCCTCCTTTCTTACCTTTCTTTCTAGTTTGAAATCCAGAGGCAGCTTCCATCTGCTGATCTGAATGCCCTGGTGCAGGGGAGCAGGATCTGCTGCTCCCCCAGCCGGGCAGCCTCAGGCAGCCAGGATGCAGCCGTGTCACAGAGTCTTGCTCCCTGCCCTCATGCAGGGGTTCAGAAGTATACTGTGGATAGGAAGGAGATCTGCCTTGGGAGGGGAGCTTGGAAATGTTATGTTTTCATCTGAAGACAACATCAAACCGTGTAGACCCCTGATGCAACACAATGCCAGGGTGTCAGGAGGCTTTTGGCTTGCCAGGAACCCAGAAGAAATATTTTCAGCCTGAGTGAGGTTGATGTAAATATTTTCTTTCTTTTTTCTTCCCTCTGAACTCACAGGTGAACCAGAAGCCACGGGTTTGCCACCTTGGAAATAAATTTACAACATCAGCAAATGCTTTTTGAGTGCCCCAGTGAGGTAAGCAACTTGCTGCTTCCTTTCTGTTTTCACCCACGTGTGACTGCATGAGCCCTCTGTCTCTGCAAGAGCACGACTTTTACTACTCTGGCAGCAGAAAAACATGAAACCACATCTGCCTCAGTTCTCCATCATTTTTCATGCCTGCACAGCACACATGGGGTGTGCCTTGGACCAGGGGCTGTGTCAGGTAAGAACTGCCACATCACAGCTGCATTGCACGCACCCTGGGAGGACCCAGACAGCATCCTGGGGCAGGGCATTGATGGCTCCAGGGACAGGAGCCCAGCCAGGGACACCATCGAGGAGAGCTGTCAGGTGGGGACAGCGTGGGCTGAAGGCTTTTCCCTCACCTCCACGCACACAGCTGCAATATCCCCAGCATGTCCTGGCACTTAAACCAGTAAGAGCAGATTTTCACAGTGATGAACACGGGGGAAAAGAGACACAGAGGGACATTTTGTGAGGGCTAAACACCCACACTAGCTTTGCAGAAGTTGTTTTGCTTTCCACCTGCTTATTCCCACCCACTTAGGCAACTTAATACTGACTTTTCATTCAAATTTTTTTTAAAAAAAAAGCATTTGAAACAAAATGAGCTAATTACAGAGTAAATATTTAGCTTGAAATGAGCAGACAGATATTCAAAGCCATTTTCTGACATGACAGATGATCTGAAAGGAGCTATGCTGCAGGCATTGTGTGCCGATCAAACCCAATTTAAAACTACAAGGCATAGAAGCAAAAATAGACATGACCCCAAGCACAAACATCCCCACACAGGCAAATGTCTCCTGTAAACTGCCATGGGTGATTTCATGGCAGCTGAACCTGGAGGCACTGGAACTGCATCACCCACCTCTGAGGGTGCTGCTGTGGTAAACCTGTGTGAACAGCACTGGAGCAACACACAAACATTGCCCTGGCAGGGCTCATCCAGCTGCTCCAGTTTTGGGACTGCAGCATGGGCCCTACATTTCCTGAAGACCGAAGGGAAATTCCTGTCCCCTTATGCAGATGGCCTAACTTCCAGCTCTTGGTATGCTCGGTGGAACCTCAGTGACTCTTGCTACCTTTGCCACACCTAAATTATTGTGACATTCAGCTGGCAGGTGGGAGCCAGGAAATGTGGGAAAAGTTGCCTTTTCACCCTTAAGTGCTGAGGAGCTCATAGCCAAGCAGCCACACCCCAGACATGCTGAGGAGCAGAGAGATGCAGGAGGAGCTGCATCTGCTTAGCACCTCCAGCTCCAAGCCCACAGAGCACACTCGGAGATCAACCTTTTCCCAAAGCTTTGGCTCAAACCCTGGTGCTCCTGGAGCAGCCCTGAGCTTGCAGCAGAAGTGGACGGAGACCTGAGTCCAACTTTGGTGAGCAGGATTGGGAAACAGGAGCTCTACAGCCACACACCACCCACAAAATGGGTGTGGATGGCTGGAGGCTGTGCTGGGTCCCTAAAGGAGTGGAGGGTTATTACCAGATGTGGGTATGGCCCCACATGGGAGATGCAGCTGGACCTCCAGGACCCGGGGCAGCCTGGAGAGGAGAAGTATGAGAGACCTTACTACCCACACTTCACATGTGGGAAACCAGCAGGGCATTTATGGGATTAGATGCAGAAGGAAAATCTTCAAGGCAGTAGCTCTGGGACAGGAAAAAATGAGGAAATTCACACAGTATCCCTGAGTGACTGTGCCCACATCCTGGGGGATGCATTGGCTAAGGAAGGCAAGGTCTCTACCAGGTCATCCCAATGTTAATGACCCAGGTATTTTGAAATCAGAAATACAAGCAGCTGCAGTGAGGGCAGTGAAAACATGGACATGATGTGGCTCCTGGCAGAATTGTTCCCTAGTGCACAAATACTAATGAAGACAACTTCAAGCTTGAGGTGCTAGTCTGGTTCTTCAAACTCAGGGCAGAGCAGAAGGCAAAGTGGTCTTGTGGGCAGAAGGAAGTGATGGCCCTGCCCAGAGGACACAGCCCATCAGTCCTTCCCCACCAGCCTCCTGCCTCTTCCCCTTGGCTGTCACTAAGGCAAAGAGCCATCCCTGCTATCCCGTGCCTGAGGTTTGGGATGAAACTTCACAGATGAAACTTCCTCCTGTTCCCTCCAGGAGGCCCCAGTGCCAGGGCTACTCCATCACCCTTGCCAGGCTGTGTGGTCCCTTCACCTTTTGGTCAAGCCTTTGACCCAATTTTTAGCATTAGCACCATGCTGACAATCCTTTGGTCCTTCAGATTTCCCACCCAGGAGCTTGGTTTTTTTGCAGGAAGCAGCTGCACAATCAGACTACCAGTGGGCTGGGTCTGAGACTGGGTCCTGGGTTTGCTGCTCTTCACTGGTCAGTGACATCTGCAAGGTGAGAGAGAAGAAGCCAGTCCTGTCCCTGGTGTGGCCATAGACCCTCAGCACTGCAGCACAGCTCTGGCTCTGGAAATGGCCCTCCTGCACATGGAGAGCCAGGAAGTGCCTGGGATATCCCAGACCCAGGCGCCTCGCTGTGGCTTTGGGAGGTGAGGGCTGCTAACTCCCAAGCTCTGAAGCCTCTCTGAGTTGTTTGTGGAAACACTAGTCAAAGAAAAGAGGTGCTGAAAAATAAACTATAAAATGAAGTGGAGTAGTAACTGTCCTGGGTAGAGGAATCTCAGAAATGTCATGGCCTTGACTGCCCTGGTGGGTAAGAGAGCTCTGGGTATTCACAGCCCTGCTGAGTCCTGGGAGGCCAGCTAGACCTGGCTTTATTGGCCCTGGTTCTCCTTTTAGTTTTATCCAAATGGCCAGACTACTGAGGTACCATTCAAAATGTGCCTTTCTGCCTTTTCTGCCTTGCATCACCCTCTGTGCTCAAGCCCTGCTGTTCCCGTGGGTCATTCCTTTGGGCACGTTCATGGCTCTTGGTTTCTCTGACTTAGAAGATGAGATGGCAGCTTTTAAAAGCATTTGTATTTTCCCCAATGCCTGGAGTGAAACTGAGGTCAGAAACATTTCTGGGCATGAAATATGCCTCTGAGCATGTTAGGATTTTGTTCCATGAGGATTTCTTGGCTTCCAGAAGGTAGAAGCAAAGGATTTGGAAAAAGACAACTTCTGTTCTGCAGCACTCCCTGAGCAGCAACCTACCACCAAGCCAATCAGTCAGGGCAGCATAGCAGAGCTCAAAGCTTGGGACCTGGTTGTTTGCAAGGCAGAAAAGACAAGATTCATCCACTGCCTCTTCTCTCCTCCTGGCAACCCTCATTGTATTTTGGGCAAAGATGCTCAGACTCAGTGCTGGTAACTGTTCTAGAAACATGCAGCCCCAGGAGACCGATGGAGCTGCAGTGGCAGGGAGGGAATGACGTGGATACACGTGGTGAGCAAAATCTCCAGGGGTCACATCAGAGATGTACTGTACCCAGACCCAGCTCTTATTCAGGACACACTTCCTGCACATGCAGGATTGCTGAGATCTCAGCCTTGGCAATGCTTATAAGGATGCTCCTTTTCCTCTAGAGCCTCCTAGCTGTGAAGATCCCCTGCAAGGGGACAGGAAGTCATAAAAAGGGACAAGATGATCAGTATTTCACATTTTCCCAAAGGAAACTAGAGTTAAATTCACCATGCATCTGTACAGCTCCAAGTAGAGCTGGACACTGCTACATCACAGGGACAAAGTGGCTCCTGGCTCTGTACCATGGCCACACAGTACATGTCCCTGGTGCCATCAGTCACCAGCAGGGAGAGGGATGCTCAGCCAAGGTGCTTCTCAAAGGAGCCCTTTGTTTTTGTCGAGATGTTTCATTTCAGGGCATGATGAGGGCATGCCAGAGACAGGCAGGGCTGCAGAGTATTGAGTTTTCTAAATGCACAGAACTGCCCAGTTCCCCCTGCAGTGCCAGATCACACCTGGCCTGCCAATCACAGTGAGTTTTGTGCAGCTGCTGGGATGTCCCACCTGAGATACCTCTCAGGGTGCTGTCATGCCTCTAAGCACCCCAGGCCATTGCTGGGAGCCACTGATGGTCACCACTCCCACAATTTGGGCAGCTCTGGCCAGGCGCAAATGTGTTCAGCCTCTGGAGGGCTATTTGGCTTCAGTTTCATATTCTTTGTTTTGAAGGCACAGTTCCTCAGTGCAATGCAACATACTTGAGAGTTTGAAGGCTCCAGGATCAGCCAGAGGAAAATCAGGAGGCCTGGCATCCCATGCCTGGGGTTATTTAGGACCCTCCTTGCTACTAGGGATGCCTTACAGCTGCTGCCTGCATGCTGGTCTTTGGGGGGACAACCAGAGCAAGCTCCCTTAGCTCTGTGCAGGGAGTTTCTGCCCAGTTTTGGTGTGAGGACACTGGCTGATGGTTAGGAGGCCTTTCATGGTCCCCACAGCTCATGGATAACGCTGGGGGCCAGTGACTTGCCAGCACAGGCCCCGGTACTTACTCATGCTGCTGCTGACAGGTACCAAATCCATAGTGCAAGAGGTATTTGATGTAAGGAGCCTTTGGGAATGGGGTTTTCCCCTCAACACTGCAGTAACTCCAGGTATTTGCTCTTTTCAAGTCAAAACCATCTGAGAGCCCAGAGCTGAAGAGATACTTTGCACAGTTGCTCAGTGACCCGAACTGCTGAGCCGGGCTCTGCCTGCCTCCCCTCCAGAGCTAATGACCCTCTCAACCACAGCAGGACCTGGATCCACACCAGGGATGAGTCGGCTTCACCACAGCTGTCATCTCCAATGCTTCAAGGCTGTCTCACCCAATCTGACCCCGTGAAGCGTGTCAGACTCACCTCTCCAGACCTCTGGCTGCACCAGCTCTCAGCTCAGCGCTGCTCACATCACACTGTTAGTGGGGAGCAAGCGGGTCATTTCTGTTCCTTTACCACAAACCCCACTGCAGACCCCCAGAGAAGAAATAAGTGTTACCCCTGGGTGACAGCTCTGAAGCCAGCTCACCCCTCACCCTCAAGGCCACTGTGCAAGTTCAGCACACTCCAGCTTTTCCCCAATTCTGACTTCTTCATTTTGTCCCCAAACTTTTCAATCAGCCCTCCACAACACCCCTGTGCAAAGCTTTGCATGGATGGCACCAATTCTCCCTTTTCCTGTCTCACCTTCAAGCCCTGCAGCTGAGTGGGACCAGCAGGGCAGGCAGCACACCCACATTCACACTGGGGCGAGCCAAAATCCCTCCCCAGCCCCTTGTGCTGTGGGCAGAGGCATCCACAGGGGGAGAGCGGGGGGACAGCCGGTGGCGTCGCGCCCACGTGAGCCACTCTGGGCCAGGAGCAAGGAGCTATTTCTGGAGAAGCGCTTCTCGGGGAGCAGAAGCAGCAGAACTCAGAAGCACTGACCGAAAAAGAAAGGCCCTGGTGTTTTGAGCAGGAAGTGAGGTTTCCCAGCCTCCCGCCGGGAAGGACGGGAGACATCCTTGCAAAAATAAGAGAGGACTGCGGTGCTCTGTGGCAGCAGGGCTCCAGAGGAGCTCAAAGGCTACTTCAGCAAGACCGTAAACACGCCAGATCTGCTGTTGTTGCAGAGCTCCGTGAAATCAGCGATGTCTGAGCGGAGTTCAGCTGGAGAGCGCTGGTGCTATAAAAAACAAAGTGACTTTGGGCTTTGACGCTTCCTCCTGACACACAAAAAGGTGATTTGTGATTCAAAAGACAAGGAATTTATCATCAAAAGGAGCTGGGACAGAGCTCAGTGTTTACACATGGAAGAACAAGACAGGCACCAAGAGCAGATATATTTATACTCATCCATTAATAAAAGAAGCCAAGTCAACCATACCTTTGTGCTAAAGTTAGAGCACAGCACTCTGCATGTCCTTAAAAAGGCAAGAAAGTTTCCACAAACTGGGACAGCTGCTCCCAGTGCCGGCTCTGTGCACCTCCTCCTTGGCACTCTGGCATCAGTGTGCTGCAGCAGGAAAGGGGCCAAGCATGGCAAGGCTTCTCCAAGTGGGAAGGCTGACTCCTAGAGTCTGGTCATGGGCTGGTGGCCACTGCATCTCAGGAGCCAGACAGTCCCTGCTGCACTGAGAGAGACCTGCAGGAGATGACTGCCTCTTGCCAGAAACAAAAACCCTCCAGTATACTTTCAGCTCTAGTATTCTCATTGCTTCCCTGGTTATGGGGCTCACACAAGCCAGGAGCTTTCTCCTCTGCTGCAGGTGGAATGGGGGAATGCTGGGCTTGGCACGCTCAGGCTGGCTCTGTGGGCAAGGAACTGGTTTGTGGGGAAAAGCAAAGGGAAGAGAAGCAGCACTCAAGGGTTCCAGGTTTGAGTCAAAGGGTCAGTGCAAGGCCAAGGTGGACAGAGAGCACCCAGGACAGAGGATGGTCCATCTCCAGTGAAGTCAGCAATAGGGCTGGATAATGCAAGTCACTGGAAGGTCCTGGATTAGTATTTGGCATTTCTTAACCCACAGCTACAGTTGGAGTTGCCTGGCTTCACCTGCCGTGTGCTTGGGAATGTTACACCAATTGGCAGGAAAGACACAGAAAGCCAGCTCTCTGTTCCTTGGGAGGTGCTTCTAGAAAGCAATCAATTATCCTTCCTGACAAGTAACAGATGAGCTCTCACAGTTGTTTTCCTGTTTCCCTTCTCTTCCCCCACCCAGTTCCAGCCCTCAAACCATGCTGGAAGCAGCAGGAGCCAGCACTGGATATGCTATGCCAGAAATGATTGCGTTTCAGGCAAACTGAGAGCAATCACAAAAAATACATCTTGTCTAAATCAAAGTTAAGCACGTTGCAGTTTTTCTTCTCCACACCCCAGTGAAACAGCTGCAAGCAACAAGCAAGCCCGGCTGCACAGGGCAGGAAACAGCTGCAGCACACAGCAGAGCAGGGGTCACCTCTCACCTCCCAGGACACTGAGGTTGTTGGCACTGCAGAATGCATTTCCCCTCTGAACTCACACAGAAGATGCTACAGTTACATGAACTGTACCTTGACTGACCTTTGAGCAAGATATAGCACTAGATGGCCTCCACAAATCTCTTCCAACCAAATTATTCTACAACTTTGCAAATTTCTGCATAAAGACAGAAAGAGGGCATGCAAATAACTCTTCCTCCCACACCAGCTCCTAAGCTAAGCTCTCCTATCAAAGGGATGCTCAGGCTGCTATCTCTGAGCCAGTACAGTCAATAGAAGTCCAGTGGCAAAATCCTGACAAGTCAGCTTTGCTACTGGCACAGGGATCAGGACTTCTTCCTCAGCTTTTGGGTCAAATCTCCTGATGCAGCTCATCAGTGCCAGCCTAAGATGCAGCCTTAGCTGTCACACTAACCTCACCCTTGAGCTCTTCTGCTAGTTCAGTTTGAATTCATAAATCATTTCAATATGATCCAAATGCTTTCCAGCAAATGTTACCATTTACTGACTCCATCCCACCCTGCAGCAGACAGGCACAGCTGTGTGGCACTGAGGTTCTCACTTGGCAGCCACGCTGGTGGACCTGTACCAAGCCCCCTGGTACAGAGCCCACGCCAGGGCTATTGCCAAACCCTCTGCCCAGGTCCTTCCTGGTGACAGGGGCACTGTCACTCAGGTGATGCTACCTACACACACAGAAACAAGCACCATGGCCCACGATCAGCTGTGACTAATGTGATTTGTCTATTCCTTATTACAATTATTTACAGCTTATAGGAAGGGGGATGCATTAAATCAGCCGTGTTTGCTTCCTCAACCAGCTTGCAGTGCATTTAAAGAACCTCTGCTTCCTTTGGTGAGCTCTGCTTCTGATAAAGCATGTTGAGCAATGCTGAATATTACAACACATTTACTAATTAGTGAATTACAAATTACTTTGACTAATTAGTAAATTCCAGGATCAGCCATTTTACAGCTTTGCTGTGAAACAAGGGTAGGCTGGAAGACCTAGAGCTCCTTTCCTGTGCCTCTGAAGCCTGCCTCTGCAATACCTTCTCCCAGCACCGCGGAGCTTTCTTTCAAGACCTTTCCCATTTCCACTGATGCAGAATCCCTTAACCAGCTTTTCTTCAACCATTATTCAGCCCTGATTTCCAAGCATCTAATTTTAGCAGTCACTGTTGAACATCCTCTTGAGTTATTGTTAGAATGAAATGAGGATCATCTGACAGGAACGTATCCTTGGTAAATACTGGGAAGGAATACTTAAGGAGCTAGCACACCTTCCTGCATCATAATCGACAATCCTACTGCCCAGGCACACACCTTATCCCACCCTTTTTTGTTCCTGGTACCTTGCATTTCCAAAGGCAATTAAAGCACCAGCCTCAACTGTACTAGGCATATTTGGCTGTGTAATTTTGCTCAGTTATTGTTTCAATAATCACTTTCAATTAGCCACAGGGATTTATTATTTGCTATTTTTAGGATCATTTCAGTTTTAAAGGCACCTGATTACACAGATCTATATTTGCATGACATCTTTCACTGGAGGATTTGTAAGTACTATGTGGAATGTGAATGAATTTCTGCTTGTCTGCAGCAATGCTCTTTTTACAGACAGGACAACAGGGGCAGTAATTAAAAGACATGTCCAAACTCCCAGAGGAAATTTACACTGACAGAGGAACCCCAGCTTCCAGCGGTGTGTGTTAACTATTACACCTGTGCTAACACAGACAGAGCAAGGTTGGCCACACAGGCACTAAAGGAGATGCAGATATGTAATTTGAAATGGTTGTCTCTCCTTCCACATTAACAGGCTCAAACACCAACTAGGCTTGAAGACAAAAAAAAAAATTAAAAAAGCTTCTTATCAAATACCAAACAATTGGCCCTTCTCTGCTAATAACAAGCAATGGGAAAGAATGGCAGGGAAAGGTGTGGATTTTCTGAGGTTGGTATAGGAACAGATGGGGCTGGGATTTTGCCAGCGTGAGTTGCCAAGGCCCTTTATCACTGCTAAGAAGATCCAAGCTCCCGGCTCGTTCTTCACACAGCTTCCCTTCTTTGCATTTTACCTGCCAGGGCAATGCACCAGCGAAATCCATCCAGATGTGCTGAAAAACAAACAACACAGGGGAGCCAGCAGACTGGTGTTTCTCTCTTTTATTTAAAAACAGTGCTTCATTACCATTTGCAAAGGGTTAGGAAGGGTTTCCCCCCTTGCTTAGAGTTTATAAAAGCCAGCAACATGATCAATAATTTATACACATGGATAGTAATACAAAAAAAAGGAATAAAAGCTAAAGATCTAACTACTCCAACCTTCACAATTCCAGCTACTTGATAATAATAGGAATAACCCAATGAATACTGTATGGTCTGAAAGCTACTATACAATATGATACTTAACGAGGGAGGGCGGGAAGTTAAAGGCTGTCACAAAGCCCTGGGATGCAGATACTGCTTCTCCAGAGTCAGCAGGGAAATGGGACCCTGGGCAAGCGGCTCGGGCGTCCTAGGAAATGATCCAGGGGAAGGGAACGCATCCCCTCGGGACACGCCCTGCTCCCCGGGGTACCTGGAATGGGAGGTGCTGGGGAGACTGCGACAAGGGGCAAGTCTGTTGCTGCCATTGGAGGTGCTGTGGCATCTCAGCCTCGCACTGAAAATCTCCAAGTCTCAAAGAGATCAGCCTGTGAGGTCAGTAAAATACTCCACCAGCTCTGTATCACTCTATAGCCCTGATTCTCATATGCTATCAGCCCCAGGTTTTAGCTCCAGCTATTTACAAGCAGGATTTATCATATAAAAAAAACCAAACAAACCAAAAACCAAACAAAGCCTAACAAAAACCCCAAACAAACAAACAAACAGGAAAACCCAAGGAAATAAAACAAAACGAAGTCATATCCCCTAGGGTGAAAGAGGATGATTTTGTCACTTGATAATGCAGCCAAATTGAGCTGCCAAAACTACAACACTCGCACACGCAAAATACTGTGAACAGAAAAAAATAGAAAAATATGACCAGAACTGAGACTACTAATGTGGGAGGCCTGATTTCTGTAAGGAATTTACTCCTCAGGGAAGCAACAAGCCTCTCCACCAGCAGAGAACTGGGAATCTGGCAAGACGTTTATTGACCCACTTCAGAGCATCAACAAAAATTTAAAAAGAAAAAACATTCCTAAGATTAACAGGCATTTTACTGACTCTGACTGCCAGCCAAATGAATATCTTGATGGACGGCTTTAGACACCAGCAATCTCCTGGTGAAATCAGGCAAGGATTTTGGCTGATGCATTCCTGCTCTATCACAAGTTGAGAGGCAGCGTGGGAAGCTGGTCACCTGCACAAGCCTGGGCCAGCTGCAGCCCATGGCCCCAACAGGACAGCCACAGGCAGAACTGGCAGCCCCAGCAAGAAGCTGTCGTCCAGGGTCAGCAGTGGCAACAGAGACAGGACTCGGCCATGCTGAGTCCCGTTCAGGCTGCCACTGGTGCAGGCACTGCAGAGGGATGGGGGCTCTCCTGACAGCTCCTGGCTGGAGCAAAGCACACCAGGCACAAATCCCACAGCCTACTTGCAAAGGGCCCCATTTCACACTGGCTATCAGACTCCTGCTTGCCTTGTTGACTGGAGTTTTCATTGTAGAAGAGAAGTTTACTGGGGTTGGAGGGTGGAGAGGGCAATCAGTAAGGTGGGGATGCAGGGAACAGGCTTTTCAGACATTAACATCACCAAAAATAGTGTTTTATGCAACAAAGAATCAAGTCTCACTGGTGTATACTACAAAATGTTTGACATTATCCAAGAGCATGTCAAAAATAAAAACACAAAGAAGTTTACATTGGATGTTCATCTTGTTCACTAGGTTGGTTCTCCCCCCACCCTCCTATTTTAAAACAGTGCAAACAGGTAAAACACTTTAAAAATCACCCCTCTACACCAAGGACAGCATTCCCCCACCCTGCCAGGCTGGAGGGTCACAGGCAGCAGGTCCTCTGCCAGGCTGTCTGTGTGCTTTCCCTTTGGAGCTAGATTCAGTAAAAGCACTCCCCAAAGCTGTTGTTTGGGTTTCCCTTTATTAAATTCCTAAGTGCTCCCCAAACCTGTTTTCCACTTGCCTCCATCTTCGTGGCTAGGATGGGAAGATACAGATAGGGATGGGCTGGGGAAAAACATGGGTAGAACTGAGAGGCTCTGCTTTGTATTCCCCACTGAGAGAGCTCTGGGTGCTGGAATTGAAAGCCCAGCAGCCAGTGTCTCTCTTCAGACAGGGAAATGGCTTCATTAACCGTTCCACAACCAGCACTCAAACCAGCTACTCAGAAATCCCTCCTCAGCTCTCGCTGTACACTTCACATCCATGGATCTCAAGAACAGGTAAGAACAGGGATAAACTTCAACTTCACTTTAGGGACAGGGAAGCAAAGTCTAAAGTAGCAACATGACTGCCCCACAGGGACCCTTGAGGGGTCACTGACAGAGCCCTGTCTGAAACACAGGTCTCAGACTCCAGAGCCAGTGCTCCTCACTGGGCAAATCTGCTCCCTCTCAGGCACTGGAACAGCCAAGCCATAGCTATCTTTAAACATGGCTTTGTCTATCTGAACTCATGACCCAGGACCCACCTAACTGCTTAACCTGGGAAAAGCTGGCTACAGTAGGCTCATACCGAGCTCCCCATTGCCTCCAGGTCCTGTCATGGCTTTTCTTAGAAAAGCTAACTCACCTACAACAGTGCAGCCTCCCATACACGGGCACAGAACAGTTTGCCAACGTGCTGGGCACCAATATAACTTATTCCCAGCAGAGAATATGCTATGCCAGTAGTAGTTACTTTATACCAGCACAACTGTAACTGCAAGGAAATACAGACCAGCACATTAAATAAACCAACTCTTCAAACCAAAACTTCATCTGGGTATCATCGTGTGCTGGCTGGACCTATTGCAAGACAGCACAAGCAGCTACAGTTAAAGATACTTTTTTTTCTCTGCATCAAGAGGAATCCCAGATGCCACCAGACTAGAAGGTGACAAATAGCAAGCTATTTGCCAGGCTGCCTGTGCAGTTTCCCTCAGAAAGCCAAACCCTGCTTTGCAAGGGACCTGTGACTGCAGACCCATCGCACGGACAAGCACTAGCTGCCATCATTCTAATAAGCCAGGACCCAGTTCAATTTATTAAACGTAATTAATTTTGCATAGGGAGATATAGGCTTTGTCCTCACTTCTTCAGAAAGCTGGATATAGCCACACCTTGGCTAATCTGAAAGCATCTCTAGCCAGTTCACAACACATCAGAGTGAAACTGGAGCTGTTCACCAGCACAGAAGAAAGGCTGAAGAGCTCTCCTGTCACACACAACACTCACTCAAGAAACCTTGCCATGCAAGTTTTTGGGAGGTCTGGTGCTTTGGAACACCTGGAACCAGTGAGCTACCTCTGGCCCCCAGCCATGCAAGTGTCCCGGTGTCCCCTCTGCAGCTCAGTGCTGGGAGCAGGGAGCCAGGCCATCAGCAAGCCCCCTCAGGGGATCCTGCAGCATTAACTATGGAGCCACAGAGACCCCGGCTGCTTAATGCACCAGAGAAGCCCGGCAGGGAGGGACCAGAGCAGGCCAAGCTGGGATACAGGAGGAATCAGGCTGGAAGGTCTTAGAACACATATTACTCGGAGATGGGGGGAGCACGGCCCCCCAAAGTTTGGGTGCTTCTGCACTAAACCCCCTCACATTCCTCATATCCTTGGGCGGGCTGAAGCTGCCATGCATAGACTCTGCCAGGAGGCAGAAATGGGGCTGGCCTCCCCACTCCCAGGGAGGCCAAGTGGCAGGGGGGCATTGCAGGTGGCACTGCCAGGGCAGGGGAGGGCACTCAGGGTGGGAGAACCTGGCTTTTGGGGAGCCGCAGTCAGAACCAGCTGAACTGAATGTGGGAGAGGGGCAGTGGGGGAGCAGCTGCCCCAGGGGCTCTGCAGAGGCTCCTGGGCTCACAGCCTGAGGAACTGCCTGCAGCAAGGGAAGGGATGGCCTCACTCAGGCCCTCCACCCACAGTGGGGAGAACAAGTCCAGTAGAGGCTTTTGATGCATCCCAGCTCCACAAGTCTCCTGGCTGCTCTGCAGTGGAAAGAACTCCCCTTGAATATGACTATCTCTACCACACGTCCCCCCTCTTCTACCCCAACTCAGGCAGTAAAGACCCCCAAACATGCCGAGTCTCCCTCATTTCCTAGATTTTGTGAAAGCCCCAACACCCTGTTCTCCCCCTCTCTATTTTCAAGCTAAAGTATTTATATACAAACAACAAAAAAATTGTCATAACAATAACAAACCAAACTTTGGCTTGGGAAAAAAAAAAAAGTAAAAAACCAACAATAAAACCAGGAAAAGAAAAGGTGGCCAACAGGCTGGCAGTTTGGTGTCCCCTTTATCTAGCAATTCCTCCAGAAAAATCAATAGCTTCAGGGTCTCTAGCTTAACTAATGGTGTCCCCATTCTTCCCATTTGAGATGCCTCCATTCTGCTGTGCACAGAGAGGCTCTATGTATCACTGGGGAAGAGCAAAAAATGTGTGGCTGGACCAGGACACTTCCCCAGGAGCGAGACCTCTGCTTGCCGATGTTGCTTAGTGTTAAATGCAGGAATTTTCCTATTCTGTATCAGTGGTGGATGGAAAAGCAGGTGTTCGACAGGAGCTGGAGAGGCTCCGCCAACAAATCCATACTCTGAGCTGCCCTTCTGAGGGCAGGGGCCCACCCCAGCAGCAATGCATGGAGTCAAGGCAGCCCGGTACAATCACACTTCTGCATCTCTCCAGCATGCAATTAGAGCCTGCCTCTGACCACTGGGTTTACTGGGAGCACTCCACGAGCCAGCAGCTGAACAGGGAGATCTGGAGAGCAGCAACTCCACATCACATCACAGCTCACAGTCATCTAAGTGTGCTGTCTTTGAAACACAGCGAATTCTCTGTCTGTGAGAGCAGAAGGGAAATGGTCTTGGGAGGCGTGGACCTCTCAACTAAATAGTTTCTATCCTTCCAAGTCTTCTAATATGTAGTGTCTATATGGACTCAGCAGACCAGGTGCACAACTTTTTGTGAGAAGCTGGGCAAACAAACCCAGGGGCTCCAATGCAGCTATGGAAGGGCCTGAAATAGCTTGTGGTAAGAAGTTCCTATGAATTCAGAGCTTGCATGAACTGCTTCTGCGATACAAAACTACTTCAGGATCACATTTAGATATAAAAGATCCTCTTCCCCCACACAAACCCACAAGCTTGTCCTTCACCTCGAGCAGCTTATGCGTGACTGGCTTTTCCTCACTCACGTTATTTGAAATAGATTACTTGCAGAAGCACCTAGGCAGCCCAGGATGAGCAGCAGCAGAGCCCCTGCAGGCTGAGCCTCAGAGCATGTGCCACGCTCGACTCTTCTGCTCGCTTTCTTCCTCTGCAAGGTTGCAGGTGCTTCACCTCCCCACGTTTAATCACTTGCTGTCCACAACAGAAGTACTCTGCATGATCCTGCACTGCATCTGCCACTCCTTGAGGAATGAAGGGGTGGAAAGGGACAGCAAAAGAGAAAGATCTTCAAAAGGAGGAATGAAAACTATGACAATTACAGCCACCTGCAGCAGACAAAAATCAGTGAGTAAAAGTTCTGTGTGTAGGGAAAAGATCATCCTTATCAAAAACTCCTTTCAAAGTCTTGTCCCCTATAGAGCAGGTAACAGCTGAAGTCTTTGGGTAGGTTGAGGGACTCTTCTCTTGCGAAGTCTAAAGTTCTGACACTGCTGAAACTGTCACAAACCTGTGAGCGTCAGATGGTGATAGAAACAAAGAAAGTCTCTGCATTTCCCCCATTTCCAAATGTAAATTACTATTTCCCACCAGCATTCAGGTCCCAGCCACAGCCAAAGAGTGCTTCCTTCTGCAGACCAGAAACACGGCAGGTGGAGACTTCTCCCTCACGTCCTCCTGTCTCACAGGCACCATGTACCAGACCCAGGGAAGTAACTCTGTCTGCGTGTTCCTGATTAATTGCATGATATCAGCTTCTAACAGCTTTCCTTATCGCTAATCGCCTTTTCCGTGATTGGTAGGATAAGCTATGCACCAACATACAGACACGGAAATGCATTATTTTTACCACAGTTAAAAAAACCCCAAAAATGAAAACAAAAAACAAACAAACAAACAAAAAAAAAAAAGCACAATCTTTGGAACAAAAGAATTAAAGGCAGAAATTTAAAGGAAAAAAAAAACATATTTGAAGAACATAGTGAGGTATAAAAAAGTATTTTCTCTTTTGTTTTTTTTTTGTTTTTCCTCCTCGACTTGCTATAGAGTTCCTCTACTAGTAAATATTGCAATAGCCAGGCCTCATGAACTGGGGGGGCTGTCCCGCTTGCAGGGGGCTCACGTCACTTCAGTAGGGGGCAAATCGGCTGTAGCCACCTCGGTATAAACTCGCCTGTAGAAATGAAATGGGAGAAGAAAAGGTTGTTAGGAGGAGAACTGTGAAGAGATATCCAGGACAGCACCCAAATGCTTCTGGAAGGACATGTCCTGGCACTGACCCACCACCATGAGCACCTCTAAGAAGCAAGAAAGAACTCTGCCTGCAAAACCAAAGATGTGGCTCAGGAGGGCATGCTCATGGCCAGCCAGCTGGAGGTGAAGTTTGGCAAGTCTTGCTGGAAGGGAATTCAGTACCAGAGTGGGGACTCACCAGTCCTAATCTCAAGTCAGTTGTCCAGGCTGCCTTTAGAGACTGCGGAGACCAGGACTTCTAGGATGCTCTTCACCTCACCTCAAGGTAAAGGTCTAAAATAGATATGATGACTGGGTATCCTAGAACTACCTGGTTTTCCCTCATTGACCCTAAAGAGAATCCACATGATGAGCTGAGGCTGAAATGGAGTTGCTACACTGCAGATATCTATTTTTAGGTGTCTTTTTCTCTGAGCACATTTGTATTCCAGCCTTTGCAACAACACAGATACTGTGCTGGCTAGCAGATGGGCAAGCATGTGTTTTCAGCAAGCTGCTCCACTCCCCTCCGATGCCAGCATACCTCATCCTGCCCTTGCATAACTACTGCTGGCAGGCAGGACACTGCATCCTTCCACTAGTGCAGGAGGGAACCAAGTGAAGCAGCTTTGCTTCACTTGCAAGATGTCACAAGAACAACTTATTCCCTTGCTTTCCTAGAACTGAAAAGGGCAAAAAAAGGTATCCTGAATCTCTAACTATTGCTGATTTTTGCTCTATGTATCACTTCTCTACAGTTCTACTGATTCACCAACAGTGTTCTAGCTCCTGGCAGTTCTGTTTGCTATTCCTATTTTTCATGGTACTAGATGATGTGCAAGATCAAATAATAACTGGTCTCCTACAGCCCGGCTCCTTTATAAGTGTACACATAGACATGAATGTAGAACAACTGGGAACACAGCATTGCTGCTAAGGACCTCCTCCCTCAACAAAGAAGTTTTTCTGAGTGGGTGAGGTTTCATTGCAAGATACCCAGCGGCTGTTCCCCATGCTGGAAATGAGAAACAGCACAAGAAAGAAAATCCCACTTACCACAGCGCCAACTCCGTAGCTAGCGGCAGGGGCAAGGGCATGGTAAGGATCTGCTGTGTACACCCTGCCATAACTGAAGAGAGGGAGAAAAGATATAAAAAGAAAAAAAAAAAGTCACTTGGGAGGGGCAGAGTAATAGCTGTCTGACCACAGGTAATGGAAGCAGCAGCATGCCCTTGCACACACATGTATGCATCCATGCACACACCAGCACGCAGGCAGCTCCTCTGCAGAGAGATCCTATGAGCATGCTGCCATGCATTGTATGAGATGGGCAAGAGAACAGCCTGCCAGGAGGAACGTGGCACAGGCCATGAGCCTGACCTGCAGGAAAGAGGTCAGCATCTTTGAACGG